AAACTCAAACAATTTGCCATCAACTATCACCCTAGCCTTCGCACGAGCTCTAACTCAAGCTCTAGTTCAAAGTCTAGCTCTAAAGGTAAGAATAGAAAAGCTTTTTTATTGTSGTTCTTTACTACACAAATTATTGATTAAAATGTGGTGTTTTTCTCGMAGCCCTCGTTGTTCCTAAGAACTGTGCAGAAGTACTGAAACGTGGCAATAAACAAAGTGGAGTGTACAAGATAGATCCTGATGGCAAAGGTGCATTTCAGGTAATACTGATAATACATATACATTGACGACCATTCAATTGTTCGTCATATGTATCTCATTATGTTATTCAGTTATAGGCCTATTATCTTGACTATGGACGGTCTTAAGGTCTAAATACATCCTAAACTCAGAGGACTTTTTACATACTTAAAGATACTAAAATTATAATCATCGATTTGGGATCACAATAACGCCTATAGATATACTTTATCAAAATGATTATTTGTAAATTAACAGTAAGACTAAACACATGCCGAGTTATCATAAATGCAATTAGTTTTGATCACAACTTAAAAGGAACGCTTMATTCTTTTAGGTTTACTGTGACCAGAAGACCGCTGGAGGAGGATGGACAGTTTTTCAGAAAAGACAAGACGGTTCAGTGAAATTCTATCGAGGATGGAACGACTACAAGAAAGGCTTTGGAAATCTCAAAGGCGAGTTCTGGTTGGGTCTCGATAAGATCCACCGACTTACTCGYCAAACAAAGAACAAACTTCGTGTTGACCTGCAAGATTTYAAAGGAAAGAGCGCGTATGCTGAGTACAGCTTCTTTTCTGTGGCCAATGAACGAAGCAAGTACAAGCTGAGTCTTGGGACCTATAAAGGTATAAATGTTTGTTCTTTAACTATTTACATTGAGCATGCGACGTCCATCCTATACTGGTAGGCGGAGTTTCTGTGGATCACTGACTCGTCTCACTGACTCGAAACTTACATTTGAAGTATAGGTTCAAATTGTTTAGCATGTATAAAAATCTTTTGAACAATAAATCATTAGAAGTTTACTAAAGATTTTAGGATTTAAAAAATCAGACAAGTTTAGTATCCTGTTAATTTTCCCTACTTTTTCGAATTCAGGTCATGATTTATTTTACTTTATTTGCCGTCGGTTTTCAGATTTTGTATATTTTCATTATTTGTGCAGGCACTGCAGGGGATTCACTCTCCTTCCATCGCGGTATGGCTTTCAGCACCAAAGATCGTG